TCGCATGGGGGGAGGCCAGGGTGTCGTTGTCCACTGCAGGTATCTGCAGGTAGCTAAACGTACCGCACTGCTCCATGTTCTTCTGAAACATTCCAAGCGCACAACATTAGAGTAGCAGTCATTGAATCAGCTTTCCACAGAGGATTGAGCCATGGCACGTCCAGCATCCTGCCCAGCGCACATCCTGGTGACGAAGAACTGGTATCGCCGTGGGAGTAGACTGCACAATGCAGATATCAACGTATGCGTGCACAGCTGGAAGCTGTGGGAGGGAGGGAGGAAGGGAGGGAGTGTCCTTCACGATCAAGTCTTCTGAGTAGACCATCAGACATCTGAAGGTCTGAAGTACATCTTGAGGCAGGGTCGACGCCGCATCAAAAGCTACAAGCGGCAACTGGAGAGACACATACAACCTGCCCCCACGGGGTGCACTTTAGTCCAGTCTCCCAGTCGGTCCGTGAGACCAATGTACAGCCAAGCCCCTCGACAAAAACGGTGGATGGGGGAGCGCCTCGAGCGCGGGTCAGGGACTGCCCTCGGCTTTAACCTCGAGCAAAGCAAAGCAAAGAGAGAGAGGGATAGAGAGAGAGAGAGAGAGCACTAATGCACGCCACTCGGCGCGGGGGCGTGACGTGCTCCGGGAACCCCGGAGTGAAGTGAACTGAAGAGCGCACCAGCGCACTAACAGGCACAAGCCCCGGCAGGGGATGTTTTGCAGAGGTTGCCGGGATCTCGATCTTGCAGACACTTGGGCAATCTTGGCCACTGCAAGTCCAAAGCTTCATCAAAATGAACCCAGTCGGGCATCATGCCGCCTTTGTGCGCATGTGCAAGCGCTTTCCTCGCTGTCCAAAGCATGAAAATGCGACAGCGGGGCGGATGTACGCGCCTGAGGAGAATGGAAAGGTTTTAAAAAGCAGCTGCCGATCTGTCTCAATAGAGAACACGAATCTGGAGGGTGTGCAGCTAGCTGTTGAAGCTAATCTCCTCACCAGGTGGCGACTGTGCGATGACGCTTGTGGAGGCTTCTGCGGGTGGCTTTGTTCCTCCTTTCCCCTTGTCCGGCCCAGACAGGACCCTGGGACGGCCTACCATGTTAGAGCACTACACACGACTAGGATTACAGGAGTTTCAAGCGTATCAAGCGACCATGCTTGCGAGCATGCCATCCAAGGAAGCCGACGTTTCGGAACATGATGCAGAACCAGTTGCACCCTTGCATCTTTAGTTCAGTTGAAGATGACGCTGGAGAGACGCCGCAAGGAACATTGATGAGCAATGCTGTCAGCCCAGGAGCTTGATCATGGACTCGGGAATCATGTCAGACATGTATCTGCGACTGTGGCGGGTCACCTGTGCGGTGAAGCCCGTTTGGAGGAGACTTGGCTGGGAAGTTATGAAAGGTTTCCGTTCAGTTGCTGTTCAAGTGCTTTCGTGCCGGACCACACGCGACTACACGTCGTGTACCCTGCCTCCCCGAGTCTTGACACTGCAGCATACCGCAATCGTGATGTGCATGTTCTTCAACGTGGAGAGGCTTGCCAACCAATTGAGCGAGCGGAATTCCAACATGGCCTTGGGCTAAGACAGCGAAGTGAAACTGAGATGCTACCTGTAGTTTACGGCTGGCTGTGCACCAGCATCGCTCTTCTTGCGCAGAACGTTGGGGCTTGAAGGCCTGCTCGACCTATGCCTCCGGATGGGAGGTCACGGCCTCAAGTGTGAGTTTCTGAGATGCTGTCCGCTGTGTGCAGTCCCGTTTTCAGCGACTCCTACCAAGAGGTGTACTACGCACCGAGCCTGTCCGACCCTGCCACTGCAGAGGGCGGATCCTGGGTTCCTGAGTACTCTACCGGCAACTCCAACAACGTGGTGCTCCTCGGACCGATAGATCGGAGCGGTTGGACCTGGGGGACGAGGGCAAAGAGATGCTCAGAAAAATTCGAAGCACTGCTATGCTCCTGAGTGGAACCCTCTGTCAATGAGGGGCCAGCTTCAAGATCGCTGCCAAGTCGCCAATTCTCCGTGCAGCACCGAGCTTTTATGGGTGACGGCGGTCTGATGCCTGCTTCGTTTTGCCTGGCGCTGTCGGTTCAGGGAGACTGCGGGCACAGGCCTGCTTGTGGCATAAGAATAAAGAACAGGCAGAACAGGCATCAACGAGCGACTTGACCCAGGCTTAAGCCTTCAGACCAAGATAGAACTCCAGGGCACTTCCGCTGATTGCCATCTCTGGGCAAACACACCGCCCTTCGATGTGAGGTGCTTCTGCGCGTCGCTGCAGGGATGCGGCTGGCGCCAGCAGGAAGCGTCTCGACTGCGGCTAGCGGAGGGGATGTGCGGAGCCGTCTTTGACTGCTTTCGGATTCGGGCTTCCAGCATTATCCTATGGTCAAGCTGGAGTCGGCAAACTACGGGCCTTATGATCATAACATACAGATGCAAACGAGCAAGTTGGAGTGCATTGTGCTGGTGTGGATTGACATCTAAGGATGGTTCCACAGCTTGCCAAACGATGGCTGATGGTCTCTTGACCCGAACTCGTGCGAATTGAGGGATGTAGGCAGATGTCGCCCAGACAGGGTGTGGGCTCACTTGGTAGAGAATTTATTGAGTTTCTGTGGCTTGTGGCCAGTCCGAGGAGATTCAGCAACACCTGTCAGCTGTGCGGCGTGCTCGGCCCAAGCCGAGTGCCCACCGCAATGCAGTTCCGCCACCTTCGCCTGCACCTGCGCGGCCTTGCCGGTCAATTGCATGTGGGAGACGCCCAGACAGATTCAGTATGAGCGTTAAAAGAGGCAATGTCCCTACCAACCAACCAGTCAGCCAGCCAGCCACCCAGCCAGCTACCTAGCCAGCCACCCAGCAAGCAAGCAAGCAATCAAGCAATCTAGCCGATCAATGTAGCCGTTGTTTGTCAGACCGGTCAAGTCAGCTAGATTCAGCTAGATCTGAGGAATGGAGAGTGTAAGCCCAGTGGTGGCGGCTCCAGCAGTATTCCCTGCAGTGCTTGCGTTTTGCAGGACACGCATGTTTCATGGCTTGCTGCTGCTCCTGGTTGTGGAAACACAAAAGCCAAGACCATGCCCGAAGTGAAACTCGCAGCAGGACACTTGCCAAGCATCCCGGCCACGCGCTGTGGATTTCAATCCGAAGACTCGGAGTTGCAAACACGGCCAGGGCTCGCGGCGGTTTTTCGTGCATCCCCTCCCTGCCGATCCGAGGAGCATCTTCGCCTTGCCGCGCCAGGGTGACTTGTCGATCATCGACGCCCGGCAGAAACCCGCAGAACCTCCCGTTCTCAGGTGCCCCAGTCCCCAGGCCAGTGGCGGCCACTTTCGGGGGGTTCCGACCCAAGTCCTTTCCTTCTGTATCTCAGGTCTGTCGGAGGATGTTTGTTTTTTTTGGTTTGGGGCACAGAGATTCACGAAAGGTGGACGATTTTCAGCTTCCCCTTTCAAAGCCAAAACCCCTTTTGGCACGAGGAGATCACTTTCAACGTGGCCCTGGGGCCGCTGCGCGCGGCACGGGGCTCCATGCGCTTCGTCTGTGGCACGGAGGGCCGTGAGCCGACCCGGACCGCATCCTTTTTTTGCAACTCGGGATGCTGCTCATATCTTCAGGCCATCGGGCCCTACAGAAGTGTGGAGACTCTTGAAGCTTTACCAGGACTGGTGTCACTCTATTGGAGTACACAGTCCCTGCCTTGGCTTTCCGTGATGCCTTGAACTGCCTCCAACACTGCACTCGCGCTCTGCCAGGTTCCTGGGGAAGGTCTCGCGGTGGAAGGAAACGTGCTCAAGGTGGCATCTGGGACGGTCTTCGTGGCAGAAGCTACAACCTGCACTCTCATGGCGGAAGATGGTGTCGTGACCAATCTGGAGGGGTTGCCTTCAAAGCCCGTCGAGTTTGGCTCCTACATGTTTCAGATGAAAGACTCGGTGCCCCCGGCGATCCTTGGCTTCCTGCCTTCTGCGGGAGCTGGATCTGTGCATCTTGCCTTCTCAGATACTCAGACGTTTCCTTGCTCTGGCGCTGGAGTCATGTCGTTCTCAGAACTGTAGAAGATGCTTTGCTGAGGGCGATTGCATCAAAGCACCTGGACTGCAGGAAGAGACAGAAGACAGCATAGTGATATTGCTTCGCAGTGTCATGTTTTCCGTCGTTGAAGCTTGAGGAATGCCCGTCACATGAGCTGTTAAGGACCGTCAGCATAACCTTCAGTGAGAGGCCTTCCCCTTGCACCTCTCGTGGCCTGTACTGTGACAAACCAAGTTGTGCAAGCTTCACTTTTTGCTGGGGCCCCCCTGCCAGGATCCGGAAGACCGACAGCTTCAGCGCCGAGCTTACCTTGGTGGACGTGCTTGGAGAGCCTCTGGGTGCACCAACGCCCCTCGCCCTGGACAGCGTCAACGAGCGACTGATCAGACTGGACGTGGAAGGCCGCCTTCCCTTCCCTCCAGTGATGCGAGAGCCTTCCCAGAGAATGGTGCGCAGGCAAGTTCGAACCAGGGAGGTCCTATCAGCGGCTCAGCTTGCAAAGAAGGTAAAGAGCAGCCGAGCAGCCCACAGCCGAGGATTACCATCGCTGCAGGGTCCTTCGTCGACTGGGGGAACCAGTTCTTCGAAGGCCTCGATCCGGGAATCTACCGCTTCAAGGTGGAAGGCCCGCCGCAGCTCTGCGCCTGCATGTCGCACGTGCTGCATTCTGCTGCGTTTGCTCTGTGCGGAGGCCAGCACGACAACGTCGTGGACATCGATATCGGGGAGCCTGGGCCGTCGATCGTCGTCTTGGTGGCTCGGCATGCAGTTTCTGTCGGGGAGCCCGAAGAGCACATGCTGTGGGGCGAAAAGCCAGGCTGGGGTGGCCGGTGGGAGTGCCGTGGTCATCCTTGCATTGGCCTGTCTCGCCTACCGGATGTACGTGGTCTCGCGCGAACCTGCGGACTTCCCACCCTCGCCCGCTGCGCAGGCCTAGACACAGGACAGGCTGGGCAACGCCAAAAGCAGACGTCTTTGTGGCAGGCTGCGCCGGGCAGGTCTCCCCCCAAGCTCCGGTTTGATGAAGAGGCACGTTCTGTGGCTTCCCCAGCGAACTTCTCTGATCTCTGGAAGCTCCTCGAAGGCTCTGCGAGTCCAGCAGATGGATGACCTCCCAGATTCTCCAGAAAACAGGACCGGGCCCACATGGTCCGTCAACCTGTGCAGAACAACAGTACAAACCGGCGCAGCGACAGGAAATCCTACAGGTTCGATGACGAGGAAACGAACGAGCCGAGCAACCAAGTCACCAACGAGCTGCGAAAATCTGCCCAGCACCAGGATTCTTTCTTGCTGCTTTTGTTTTTCGCTTGATCTGTTATCGGGATCCGTATGTTTCCGCAGCAAGGAGGCAGCGACGGTTCGTCGCAACTCCATTGCCGCTCAGATGGATCTGCCGCGGATTCCGACTGGCACCACAGATGCCACAAACCAGCGTCGCTCATCTCATCACGGGAGCACGGCGAAGGAAGATGCGAAGCATCACAAGTCAAGCCGTGTACACCCACCGACAGAGAATCGGGAACCAAGCAACAGACCGAAGAAGGCCTGGCCTTTCCGCTTCTTTTTCTACTTAGGGGTGCTAATGTGGGCAGTTCTCCTTGCATCTCTGCCTTCACAGTAGCATTCTCTGCAAGGAGCCTCCGAAACTCAAGACGGGCCACTTCCTGAGTTCCGCGTGGCAGGAATGATCCATGAGTAATACGAGGCTTTGTGAATTATCGAGCTATGGGGGTACCGACCCTCCACTGCAACACTGAAGCTCGAAGTACGACGAAACCGAAGGAAGTGCAGTGTTTTTCATGCGACGCCAGTCCGAGATTAGAGTTTCTGGAGTTGCTCACGACCTTTTCAATAAGACATGCAGTGGAAGAGGTCACATATTTGAAATGTTGCGCAGGCGTCCTAAGGAGGGCCCCTGTGAGTGTGCGCGTTCCACCCCACGGGATGAGGGCCAGGGATGCACCAGCCGCAGTGACCGTGCATATCAACGTCCAAAACGTTGTTGCGCAGTGTCATTTTCCGCCGGCTTCGCGTGCACCATGCGGAAGAGGAAGTCTTACAATCCTTTGCGTTGTCGTAAACAGCACATTCCATGGCAGCAGTTAGCGGTTTCTACATGCGCATGAAAGAGCGGTTGTGGCCCTGCCCGAGCTCACGGCCTCTTCGCATGATTCGGCCGCTCCAAGCGCTCGTAGCTTCACGGAGCCTTCGCACCTTCAGCACGGGATTTCTGTAGCAAGACTTGATCTTGTTCATTTAGTGGTGACCTCGGGCAGATCACCCATTGCAACGCCGTGTCGAAGACATGAGCAGCGTGTACGCATCAGTCGGGCCAACCGGCCTTTGATGTTTGCCACCCGGGCCAGAGCTTGCAGCCTGCCTCCATCTAGACGGAGCTAGGGCCTTGGCCAGAAAGTTTAAATATAGTCTTTTCAAAGTTCCTGTTCTGATTTCGCCCTGCCTTCGACTCGAGATTTAGAGTAGGCAATGCTGAAGGACCGAGTTGAAGTCAGAAGGAACACCGCAGTACTTCGGCACTGCTCGTGCTCGCTTGGAACATCGCATACCTCGCATCGCCAGGCGAGCTTTCACAAGGCTTTGCTCATGTGCCGCGCCCTCTCACCGAATTTGCACAGGCGATTTCAACCAGTCGGAACACAGAATCTGCAGGAGATGGTGTGGCTCCAGCACTTGCTTGTCCAAGGCTCTGTAGACGGTAGAAATTCTGCCCGACATATCTCGAGCTCTGGGTCATGCATGTAGGCGTGCGCGGTCTGTGTTTACATGCCCAGAGAGATATGTAGATAAACTGCATGACTTCGTACTTGCGCCTGTCTGTATGAATGCATGTATGTATGTATGTATCCTTGTGTCAATCTCTCCATCTGTCCAGCCAACTTGCCTACCTATCTACCTGTCTACCTTGTTACCTAGGTAGCTAGCTAGCCAGCTCTGAGCTATTGATCCATTTGTCTGTCTACCTGCAGACATTGACTACCTTTGGCATGGTGGGCGATGTGCCGCTCGTCCGGTGGCTGCAAGGTGTGGCCCTGAACTCTTCGGATTCATCGGGTTGTTTTAAGACAACCATTTCCAGCAGATGTGCTTGGCTCCAGAACTCGAACTCGAGAGTGCCAGAAGTCTTGGAGGATGGTGAGCGTGTGCAGCCGAGAGCTGTGGGGGAACGAACGTCTTTCGCCAGGAATCAGCCCCGGGCTTCCGCGTCTTCTCCATGTGTTCAGGAGATCTGATGGGAAGCTTGCACCCCTGGCAGGCATGTTCCATGTGGGTCGAGAGTGCAAGACTAGTAGCTGTTGGTTGAACAAAGGCGCACTTACGTACTCACCAACCCTTCCATCTGTTCAGCACGGAGTGGCCTCTTGATTTCGATGTTTAGGTTTAATCACCGCGTCGGCATGCCACAGACTTCTTCGATCCGCTCCTGGTACTAGTACTAACAAAGGAGCAGAAACTTGCTCGATGTGCGCAGTCTCCAGCAGGGAACTCAGGTGTTCACAAGTTACTGGAAGAAGCCGACATGTTTTGGCATGCCGCAGGTAGTGGGCGTTGCAGGAGTGCCTGTCGTTTTCCTGACAGGGAGATGAATGCCGGAAGTGTCAAGCATCTGCTGGCCGCCGGACCCCTGGAGTATCCATCTGTATCCCAGAATGCCAACGCCCAGTACCGTCGAGTGGTGAGATCTTCTGGAGGAGCTGAAGCAGGCCGGAGCAGACCACAAGGACGTAAGGCCGGACAAGAGGAAGCTGTTTGCTCCAGCGGAATCACGTCCTTGCAGGGCACTGCAAGCAGCCTTGAATCCAGGTCCTTCAGGCTGGACTTCTCAGGAAATGGATCTGTTGCCAACGTGCAGGAAGCTCCTCAAAGCCTCTTCCTTCCTAGCCTAGCCACAGTAAAGGTGTGTAGGGGCGCGAGTGAGCTTTGCATAGTGAGGGCCGCCCGAAAAAAGCTGAAGCTCATTCTGTAATGCTGTCGAGGCCTCGAGGAGAAGTGCAGGAAACACGTAGTGTAGAGTACAGAACTTAAACGCCAGATGCAGGCCGACGAGTCATCGTGTGGTCGGACGCGCGGGACGAGCAGGAGGAGGCAGGCATATGTCGGAAGCATCCGCAATCTCGAGCTGCAAGCAGCCACCATACTGTCTTTGTACGGGAGCTGCGCCAGCAATGGCTGGAGAGTAGATTTTCTATTCAGTTATTTTGAGCTCACTGGGCTCTTTTGGGATTTGGGACTCTGACCTGGATGCAGTATCTCGTTGCGCTTCCGCACTTCCCAATTTTGTTGCTGAGATCACAGCAGTCTACACATGCTTAGCTGCTACACATCAAGCACAGACCGCAACTCATCGCAATTCGCTCGATTCAAGCACCACCCAGATTCAAGCACTTGCGAGTAGAGCGCGGAAATTCCACCACACGATGCCAGAGGGTTTGGGGTAGCTACTGGCTGGGGTCCAGGGAGTGCAAATTTTGTGTTCACGGCTCTTGTGCCTTGAGGATTTAGGGCTTAGGACTTTCAGGCTTTTAGGCTTTACGGTTTGAGAAGCTTGAGGGGTTTAGTGATTTTACTGTCCCGCTCTCTAAGGTCTGCGGTTTTCAGCCTAGGTTTTCGGGTTTAGGCTGCAAAGGTTGGCTTGGTGTGGTTGGTTTAGGCATTGCTTTTTCGGGAGAGGATAGCCGGGTAGTGATTCGAAGTGCACGGCTTTTACGTTTCAGGGTGTCGGGCTTAACTGCTCGGATTCCGAGCAGGCAGGTTTTGAGGTCTTTTGCGATTCAGGGCATGTCGGGTTTATGGTTTTGCCTGCAGTGTAGGTTGTGCTTGGGGATTAGGGTTCCGGGTTTTCAGGGTTTAGGGTTTGCGAGGTTCAGGGCTTTAGGGTACGGGGTTTTGGATGTTTAAGGTTTGGCTTGAAGGCATGCGTTTGCTGTGCTTGATCTCCCAGGCCAGTAGTCAGTAGTAGTCGTCGTCGTCGTAGTAGTAGTAGTAGTAGTCGTCGTAGTAGTCGTCGTCGTCGTCGTCGGTGTAGTAGTAGTAGTAGTAGTAGTAGTGGTAGTAGTAGTAGTAGTAGTAGTAGTAGGGCGTCAGTCGTCGTCGCAGTAGTAGCCCTACCCTGCTCCTTGCGGTGACATTGATATACCTCCCAGCAGGCTTTGCTTGCCTGGCCCCGGTTGCCGGGTTGTACCACTTTTTTTGACTCCCCTGGTTGCATGTACCTTGAGAGCATCACGGGTGAGTGTTCCGGATCTTCCTCCATCGCTTTCGATCAGTTCTGGCTCGCCCAGCCGCCCTCCACCGTTCTCAAACCGTCCCTTCCCTGTTCGCGAGCCCTCCGTAAAGAGCCGCGCATGCTTCTCACCGGACTTTGCATCAGTGCAATTTCACAAAGTTGCCGAGCAGGATCAGCGAGTGTTGAGGACTTTCTTGTGCTACAGTATGGCCTGCATATACGAAGTTACCATCACTGTCTCAAAGTGCTCCAACTACTGGTCTTCAGCCGACACCGAAGCAACCTAGGCTGCCCATCTAAAGTCGGCTAGGCAGACGGCGATGAACAGCTGCGGCCAAAGAGTCCACCGGTCATCGTGTCGGGAAGAACCTGGCAGGCGTGGTCACTCAGATTCCAACTCCAAAGTTTTTCCAAGAAACACCATCCACAGCGCAACTGGCTGGCAGGCACCTGCTTCAAACACTTCGCTCTGGGATGAGGCGGACGTCAGCGAACGACCGCCCCGGCACACTGCTGCGCGTCACAGGGCCCTGGACTTCCAGGCAGGAAGTGGATGGGGACCGCTCAAGTGGGCCAGTCTTGTGTGTGTCAGGCTGGAAGGGGCGTTGCCCATGCACTTCGCCACGATGTTCCTCCACCTCAGTCGGCGGTCAGGTGGGCCGTGTGTGTCTGGCGGGTGAACCCATGCTTGAGCCTTACGCATCCGCCTAAACCCTAAAACTTAGACCCGAAGCCCGAAACCTCAAACGGGCGGAGGCGGCAGAAGAGGCCGGTCTCTGCTCCTACAGGATCTCGGGGAGCCCAGGCGAAAGGGTCCGTGTTAAACTTCAGAGGATTGGCTTCTTTGAGGCTTCAACATTTAGCGTTTTAGAGTCTAGGCTTTTAGGGTTTAGGGTTTAGAGTTTGGGGTCCAACCAGATGATGGTGTAGATGGCTAGCATGGATTGGTGAGAGTACACCATTGACAACATCAATATCAAAGACGATGGTAATCATGTCAATTTTGAAAAAGAGTTTGATGACAATAGGAGTCAGAGGTCAACTAATAACAATAAGATGGGGATGCGACGCAGTAACAATATTTTCTAGCATGATGCTAACCATGACAACATTGATATTGGTTTTCAACAGTTTGAAGTAAGCATCGAGAGACTTGTGACCATGGTAGTGGTGGTAGCATAGATCGTAAGACGAGAGAGATAACATCGGTTAGACGGCTATTCAGCCCTCGGCAACGTCAAGTTTAGGAAACATCACCGTCCAACCCTTGTGAAGCAGTACGCGCGGACGCAGACCATGTAGGAACGGACCGGCATGTTTTCAAAGACCAGGTCGCTTTCGATGCTGCAGTTGTCTTCCGGTGAATGTTTTGGTCGCGGTGGCAGTCGCTGTTCCAACCGGTGCACTCCGCGTTGTTAATGGCTCGTGTCGGTGGTGTCTGCTGAGATCACAAGTCTCGTCAGGGTTTCGACGGGGGGGTCGGTGTGCTGTCGTTCTGCTCCAATTTTTTCAGGAACCCGACGAAAGTGGGTCGGTCAGTGTTGAGTTCTCAGCGTCTGCCGTTGCGTGGGGCAAGCAAGGAGAAGGGCGATTTGGATGCCGACCGGGATCCGGAGTCGAGCAAAGGATACCAGGACCCTGACGCTGAACCCAACTACCAACCGATACCATGATCTGCAGCCAGTCGTCATGATGACACGAGATGGCAAGAGAAGCCCCATGCAGAAGACCGACTGAGACCAAGACATCGAACGAGGCGTGACATCGGGAATGTCGATGGAAAGCAGCCTTGAAAGAAGACCGTGGCGCCCGACCGAAAGTGCGATCAACGCAGCACTGCCACCCTCGGCGCAGACTTCAGGATGCACAGCGTGAAGGGCTCACTGCAGTCGACGACATGAAAGATATCTCCGCCTCTAAGCAGAGCCCAAGCAACCCTCCCTTTGCACAAGTACACTGACCTTAGAGCCTTCCTTGCGTGAGGCCGCCGGCGCATCAAGCATGCGGAGCCGGGTGACGAACGAGGCCACGCATGAAGCCAGCCTGATCTTACCTCAGATATTGGTAGTGACCCCAGGCCCAGAGCATCAATCGATCGGGTGTCCGTACAGAGTTTCTGCATTTCCGGGTCTCATACGTGGAGTTGGGTTGAATGCTTATGTTGCCACACAGGGCGTTCCGTCCGTCCGTCCGTCGTGCCCGTACCTCCGCCTTTAGATGTTTACACGCTGTTTTGGATGTCCGCCCGTTCGCCGGAGGTTTCAAAACGTCGACCGGACATCGAAAACTTACGTTTGAGGTTTTAGATGTCATGACGCTTTTTTCGATGTCCGCCGGTAATATCCCGGGCGTGGGAAGTAGTACCTTTTGTTCGTCTTGGTACTTCTATATAGTTTAAGGGTTTGGCCCCCGGTTTGCCCCACTTTGCGCTTTTTTTGACAAACCTGCGTGGCTCAACGTGTGCCTGTGAAAGCGTAGCGAACTTCATCATGGTTTGGACATGGGCGGCATGGATGCTCCGGCCAACGGATGCCCTGGTAAAACAAAAACTTTTTAATGTTGCGGGCATGGATGCTCTGGCAAACCGACCTGAACGGGGCACAAAGGGGAGGGGGAGAGGGGGGGCCGGACCCTACTTTGAGTGTGGGATGTGCCTCTCGCTTTGTGAGCGGCTGTTGCAGAGCTGTTCCTACAGCTGCGTGCCATCGGGTTCTCTTGGTTTACTGCTGCTGCGTGAGGGAGTTCCCTTTGAGAGTGGTACGTGCATGGCGGATATCCATCTATGCTGTGAGTCTAGAGTCTAGGCTTCCTTGAACTCTGGATCGTGTAGCACGTATTTTTTGGGGTCATGTGACATGTGGACAGTCTGCCCATCGGTTTCGTGTGAGTGTGTGGCGCATTGTTTTTTCGGGCAGAAGGGCAAGTGTCCTGCTCCGGACACTCAGTTCATTCCTCGCACGGTTTGGAGCCCGTAGCACACAACATGGGCTTCCGGGTCACACAAAAATAATTCACCTTCCTGCTGAGGCTTTGCTCTTTCCATGGACGTTTAGTTCATGTGAGCCGGACCTGACACTGCGATGGTTCCATGAGCATGTGCGCCTCTGTACTCGGTCTTTGTCTGTCAGGGTTCATGGCTTTGGGGTGCTCGGCTGTTTCGCAAGCCGAGACTTTGGACAGCTGCCGCGTTACAAGTGTCCACCGCCTCGACTCTACTTTTGCGGCTCGTTAGTCTCCGGGTCTTTGTTGGCCCTTTAGCAGTTCAGACCCTGCGAGCGGAATGTAGGGCTCGCATCAAGGCTGGGTGCTTGGATTTTAGTGCAACACGGTGCGAAAGACGATGTGCGGTACGTAGATCTCGGGTGGTTTCGGCCAGCCGATGTAGCAACAAAACAATCCATCCTTTGGCAGCGATGCTAATCTCATGCACAAACACGTACCTACAATTACCTGCACAGCCACACAGTGCCTAAAGCATCAGTGCGGACAGGCGAGGTTGATGATTTTTTTGAAGCTTCCTGTATTGATAAGAAGATGTGGCATTCCGACTGCTGATGTCGTGTAGTGTAATTCGCTGAAGCAGTGTGTGCACTGGGGTGAGCATAAAGTTTCCATGACCTGGTGCGCGATGATGTGTGAATCCGCCTCCAAGTTCCATAGCAAAGGCGGAAAGGCTGCCGAACATTTGCATGAGTGGGAAGACTGCTGCTTGAGACTGCTGCCTGTGGTGAGCAAGCAGTTAAAGCCATCAGTCGTTGCTGGGCGGAAGGAAGACGCAACAACGCTCTGCACTAAATTCGCATCCACCGAGAAAGCGCAGAATTTCAGTTGCAAGATGCTTCTGCGATATACGTAGCGGCACCAGAGACCCAGCAGACAACACTTTGGATAAGTTGTCGAACACCGGTGAAGCTCGGGTTCCTTCCGGAGTTCTCTGGTGCAGAGTGCCGAGCTTGTAGGAGTGGAGGGACCTGGTACCGCGACCTGCGTGGCAGGGATATGATGCTCGGCTGAGCTAGTTTCGTCAAGATTGTAAGGTTGCTTCGGGATGCAGGGTGCACAGGGCAAGGTGACGAGGTGAGAGTGGACTCGACAGCACGACGTCGCTCGGGTTTCTTTCCTTTGCGGGTCATTCTGTTCGTGAACCTTGCCCCGAAGTGCCGGCGTTGCGGACTGTAGTGCAGTGCTGGCAGTTAAGGGGCGGATTCTCCAAGTAGGTGGTGGGCAATGCCGGCACGCTTCTGCCGGGGACTGTCGTGTTTTGTGAAGCATTCCCCTGATTCGGCCAGATTACGGCGCACCTGCTACTGTGGCTTCCACTGCTGAGCAGCAAAGCTCTGCGTCGCAGTAGGTTTCCTGATGTCGCGAGACAAGTCTGCACCTCGAGATCTGCAGAAAGTTTTCGGGTCTCGGGAGGTCTGCAGGAGTCATGCCTCTCTGAGCTCTTAGTCGGCAGATGTTCTGATCTGTGTGGCTTACCGAGGCTTCACGGGAGCACCCTTAGTCATGACAATTCGGTTCGACCACATTCCTCAAGAAGTTCGTGTAGAACCACGGGCCGCAACGCACACACATCCCAGCCTCTCAGAAGGTGTTCCACGCAGGGGTAGCGCCGAAGAACAGTCTTTTACACTTCCTCGGCTTTGGCTGCTGCCTTCAGGAAGGCCGGAAACTCGGAAGCCTTCTTGAGAGGCCTTGCAGAAACCTCCTTGGCCCCAGATCCGAGGTAAGGCATGTCCTATTCTAACAAGATTTCCGCTGCAGCGCAGTTGGTGCCGGTCTCGGGGGATTTGAAGGCCGTCAGTCCTGAAGCATGTCCCTCCGCGAGGTTCACGAGGATGAGTTTCGACGGATGCTGGAGCCTGGACGAAAGAAGCACGACAAGCTGATCGGCAGGTGCTTGCTGCGGTCCATCTGACCAGAGAGTGTGTATGTGTGTGTGCGTGTGTGTCTACGCAACGCAGGTTGCCAAAAGGACAAGAATCGCCTTTTGGCGACTTTCCGCCAGACTACACACGACCTGGGGATGACACAAAGAGGCGCACTCGGACTGCCTGGCACTGGCCACTGGCGCTGTCTTTCGAAGCCCTGTCAGGTCCCTGAACCTCCAACTCTCGGGCACAGCAACTCTGACACCGCGGAAATCAGCGGATCAGGCAGAAAAGCTGCATCGAGCAGGAAACTGACAGCAATTTGATATCATAGAGCTTTGCAGGCACTGCCCTCGGCTCGCAGTTCGCTCCCGTCGGCGCGCAGTACTGACGGCAAGACGCCGCGTACGGCTCGCGAGATAGAGAGGCCCGGGGTCCGGCAGCCCGGCAGAGCTGGTCCTGCTGTGAAGTGGTCAGGACGCCCAGGATGACGCCCCGCGACGGTGCCTTCTCCAACACAGCGCCAAAGACCTTGCGAAGGCTTACTCCCCGAGTCCAAAGTCCAAAGCTCTGCGTCTGCAACTGGATCTCCCGGCACGTGCAGTTTGGGCCCTCCGGCGGCTGGAGCTTTCCAGAAGTGCAGAACCGAGCATAGCGGTGTACAGGGCTGTTCGTGTGTCGTGCGTCGCTCACTCAGCGAGCCCAAGGCGACCCATCGAGCCCTCAGAGTTCAGGAGATTCTACGACAGAAATGATTTGCCCATTCAGGCCTGGTGCCGGGAGTTTTAGGCGTCGCGCCAATTTCAGAGACTCTTTTTCGACCAGATCATGCACACGGGCACCCAGAACAGGATTGCGTGGAAGGCAGGGCATGTGGGCCGCCGCTGTGGGCCTTTCTTTCGTTCTTTTCGAGAACTGTTTTAGAGTGTGTTAGGTTGATGTGGAAAAGCTAGACTACCACCACTACCTTCCCATTTTCTTCGATGGGTTCGGAGCCTGAGATGTTCCTCGGCAGCACTGGGGGGCAAGTCAAAGGCAGATCGAGAGCAGGTTGCGCGAAAGGGAGGAGCCGTACCGCTTCTTCGCAGTCGAGGGTGTCTACAATCTACTGGAAAAGGTCGGACTGAGCGCAGCAAATGTGTGGGCAAATGCTAGTCATTGTGCCTGTATCGGCATCGCTGGAAGGGCGGTTCCAAGATCCTTCCGGTCGTGCCGCAGCTCATTATTCCAATCAAGAAGGAGCAGCTGTCGGGGATGGGTCTGCCCCTGCTCTCAATTGCATCAGAACCCCCGGCAGGCACTGAACACGCCGGGCTGGCTGACTTCCTCCTTGTTTGCTGCGCTTCTCTGGCCCCTTTCATCAAACGTACTGCCAGGCGGGACACGGAGGTGATGGTGACGACCATGAAGGCGGGACGGCAGGACTCACCATTTTCTTGCGATGTTGACTTAAACCAAAGTTGCCGGATCAGGTGCTGCAGACATTGGTCCTGTCCGGAGAGATGGTGGGAGAGGCCTGCATGTGGCCAAAGCTGGTCCCACCGGGGTTGCCAGCTCTCAACACGCGAAGTATGTGCCAAGATGGACCAAGCCGTGGTTTAAGCTGCCTTCAGTGTTCATTCTTGTAGTCAGTGTGGGTCATCTGGTCTCGAAGCCAAAGCAGCAGGCTCTTGTCCCCTACTACCGCCAGATCTTGCCGGCCAGCAGCTTACGATGAGGGCCTCAGCATCGAAACAAGCAGTTCTGCTGGGTGATCTCCGTGGTCCTGACCACATATGGATCCGTCAGTACTAGCAGTCACTAGATCAACCCTGGACGGCCCTAAACCCTGCACCTCTAAACCAGTCTAGAGTGTACGTGCATGGCCAGGAAGCGACAGACAACCTCGATGTTTCTGAGGGCTTGAGTTGTAGCCGTGGCTGTTATTCGGAGAAGTTGGAAACCTGTTGTGATTTTTGAATGTCTTGGTCATGTTCTTTGTTCTTTGACGTGCTCTTTGGTACCTGTGTGGTGTTTGGAGTGTAGCTGTCGATCTTGATACTCGATGTGCTGCTTGCTCATGCTGCAGCACTGGGCTGTCCAGAGGTGCTCAATATCTTTAAGTCAGCCACGAAGAGCACCTTCGACCAGATGGCCGGGGCCCTTTGATTGCGCCTTCTTCGTTGGGATCGCTCCTATCATAGGGGCCCTTTGCAGCAGGATTATGCCCAGCGCAAGCGCATGGACATTGGGGCCCTCATCGACGAGACCCTGGAGAGCTCTCGAACGCGAACGCGTGCGCTTTCCGTCGGCAACCCGGTTTTGCCAGTGACTCCAAACGCAGGAGATCCTGGAAACTCACGGGGGCGAAGATGCCTTCATCAACATCAAGTGTCCCACGGGAAACAGTGTGCGGCCTTGCCACCAACATCCTGCAACCTTCAGGTACATGATACCAACCTATGAGTCATGTGTATCTGTTTGAGAGCAGCAGAATCGAACTGGAGCACGTGACAGACCGACTTTCCACCAGAAACCAGTTCGATCCTGCAAGGCAGTGTCCCTGCGGTTTTGCGGAATCAGGGGCATGTAGTTCGACAGATGTCACCAAAAGGTGGACTCTTTCCAATTGCCGCTTTGCCAAGTCTCAACAGTGCTGCCGCTGTTCCAGAGAGTGATGAGTCGCAGTCCTTGCCCGCTTGGGGTCATGTCATGCAGTGCTGTGTGATTCTCTGGGCTGTGAATATCGCAGAGCCAGTGAGTGCTTTTACAGACACCGCAATTGCCAAGAGGCCATTCTCTAGCAGCGAAATCAGCTTTTGACCTGCATCACTGATGTCTATGTTGCTCTCGTCAAGATTCGGTGTCTCTCAGGTGTGGATCTTTTACTTTCACCCTGATGCTCCCAGCCAGCTGTGTTGCTGAGAGTCGGTTTACGCCCTCGAATTGGCTCTACCGGAGCAAAATCTGAACTGCCACATGTACTATTATGCGAAAACTCCAACATATCGATATCGGTTGCATGAGCCTGATCTTGAGTGACAGTGGATTCTGTTCCGCATGGTGCTGTCTGGCTCGAAAGCCTAGATTTCAGCCACCATGCCTGAACTGAAAAGCCCGTGGTTAGCAGTCTTAGCATCTCAAAGTCTTGTCACTGCCTGAGCTTTGACGCTCCCAACATTTCAGCAGCGGCGCGCGGGTGGATGTGGGCCTGGGGAACTGGCGATGGCCGCTCGGCTCTTGACTTCGAAGTTTCGCCTCGACGTGACTGGAGTGCGCCGTTTTTTCCAGGGAATTTCAGGAATTTCTGATGTGACATGTGCTCTACACTTGTGACACTTGTGCGCATGCAAAGGGCGCCGCTTGTTTGCCAGGGCCTGGGTCTCCATGACCATCTCCAGTCAGTGGGTCACCCCGTTGGATTTCTGGCCAGGCGCCTCCTTAGGCCGCCTGTGAGACAAAAGTGAGTGGCAATGTGACGTGGAGGCGGGCAGCCGCACCCACGTCGACGTCCTTCTTCATCGACTGCCGCCTCTACCGGCCGACCCAGGAGGAGGTCGGTTGCCGTGCCTTCCCGTGTTCGCCCTTGCGACGAGATGATCTGAGCTGCAGGCCGAATATGCGCGCCGGTCGCTCGGCAGGGGCCCCCAAATTGTCGTTGGATCTGGAAGTGGGTGTATAAGCTGCACAGGGCCCGGTGTCTGTGACGGGTAGTTGCGCAATGGGTACTGACGGTGACTGGGGGAGCATGAGGCAATGTGGAAGAGATTTGGAGAACATAAGGAGGACTCAAGAAGTTCAACAAAGTGCTGTATGACGATATGATACTATATGACTATATATGAATAGTAGCTGAAATCCCTGGCACGCCAAACAGGCAAGCCCAGCTCCTCGTAACCGGTGCTGGTGAGGCGAGAACGACGTTGAAGAAGTGCCATCCGAACCGCCGCCGGAGCCGAAGGCTTCGGCTGTACGAGTGACGGCCCAAGCACCTGCCCGGGTCGGCAGGCGATAAAGCCCAAGCCAAAAGGCCTGCTGCAAAAGGGGCTTGCCACCGCCTCAGCTGCGGAGCTGCGATGGGGACGGGAATCGGTGGCGCTGGCATGCGCGGGCCAAGATGTTCCGAGGCGATGGCCAAAGACTATGCCCTGCAGGCTTCTCGATTCTGCGATTTTTTGCTCCGCAGGGAGGGGCCGTCCAATGCTGCTAGGCGGCTGGCGAATACTTCAGCCGGCACCCCACTGCGTGAACTTCAAGAAACAGGCTGTGTGGCGGCGTCCCTCGAGGCAGTGCCGGCGGTAAAGGGGACCCCGAAGTCGAAAGGCGCGCAGAACAGCGAGCCAGGCCCGCGGCCCATGCCGCGGGCTTCCTCGGGCAGGCAGTGCCACGAGCTCTATGGCCTCTTCCAGAGGAAGAACGTCATGGCCGATGCCTCGATTCCATACGAATCGAGCGTGCCCAAGATTCTGCATCCAGGAAGCGCACACAGACCGAACGCTGAAAAGGAGCAGAGGAGGCATCTGCAGATGCGGGTATGAGGATCCTGGTCAGCACGGCGCATGTCTTGAGGGAAGTCCAAGCCGCTCGCCAATCTCGAGGGTGACAAGGCCAGGCTCGGGGCTCGGGGTGTTTTCTGTTGGAACCGGGCTTCTGAATCATTGAAGGCTCCAGGTGGCCTCTTCATCCAGCACACGGCCTCTCACCAGTGGCCCCTTTCCCAGATGGCGCCAGGTCTCTGCTCCCTGCCCTCCATGCCCTCCGTGCCTGGAAGGTACCACTGCTTCATTTTGGGGAAGAAGGAGGACGCTCAGCTGCAGCCGTGGCCCCGGTTCCTGCCGATGTGATGGGCTTTTTGAGCCGAGCTCCTTGCGCAGGTGTGTGGCGATGGAGCCCGACTGGATCTTCCAGAAAACGAATCGCAAGCTTTGCGGCTTGCAATCGTGCTCCACTCAATGCCTCAAGAACCGGGCCCTCCTTCCTATTGCCATTGCGTGTTTGGCCTCCGCCCTGCAAGAAGGAGGCAGGTCACAGAGGTCTAGTGCAGTAGTGTCCCCCGTTGGCCATGGTCAAGGTGCGACTACGATCGTCTCACCTTTAAGACCGAGTGCCTCGACAGGCCCTCGGAATGGGACTTCTGTGTTCTGATGTGCAGTGTCGCAGTTGGTTTTCACAGCATGAGTTGCGTGCTTCATACTACGAAGTGTGCAGAAAGGCTGATGGTCAGATGTTGATGGGGTTTGAGATCCTAGTGGTGTACAAAGTTGTTGGCCATTGCGGCGCCTGCGATCGCATCGTTGGCAGGGTGGTCGGTTGGATCCCGCGGTCGCAGTGTGTTTATGTTGGCCACCATGGGCAGGTGCATCCCAAGGCCTGACGGGCGTTTCAGAGCAGGAGGCTAATTGAAAGATGCTTGTGTTTGTTCAGGACATGATGGGAACCCCTGTCCCGTATTCGGCTGGAAGCCCAGCTGCGCAAACATACCGCGCACTGATCTGTTGGGATGGAACTTGGGCCGGATGCGCCGATGTCCTCGTGACAATCTCCATGTTGCAGAAGTGAATCGGCTCTGCATGTAAGTTGCTTGCTGCAGCCCCTCATTGCAGGTCTACATCATGGGATGTCCACCAATACCTCCTACACCTCCTCTGCGGAAATTGCGAACAAGTCAACAACTCAGAGAGGGTACGGACCGTACGGACACAAGCTGGTCCAAGGAACGACTTATCAAAGCAGCTCCCTGAAGTTTCTCAAAAGTTGCCATCATGGTCCCGGCACCTAGAACAAGTGCGCGTTTCGATGATACCCTTTGAGGCCTGAATCGGTGGACGGACTTCTTGCTACTTGCTGGGTGTGCAACTCAGCTTCCGAGGCAGTGCTTGTCGGAGTAGCTCGTCGACTCGTGGAGCTCTGAGGTAAGACATCCTCCGCCCGCCTGGAAAATCACGTACTTCGCGAGCAGACCTCACTGACCTGTGGGCAATCTGCAAAGACTCCGCCGAAATGCTTCCCGATCCGATCTGCCAGTTGCCGTATATACACCGATTGAAGAGCAAGCCAGTCCTCGCGAAGGTGGTTCTTGTGGCCAGCATTCCGCAAGGAGGCACGAGATGCCAGGAACTGCGAGCCGAGCGAAGAGACTGCCACCAAAAACCCTTGCGCTTCACGTTCGACATAGTCCCTGATGGAGACAAAAGAGGGTTCACTGTTGCCTTTTGGCTTGTATCTCTTTGCCTTTTTTTTTCGGGAATGCACCCTTGCAAACCTCAAACGCGCCTGAACCTGAACCCCCCAGCCTTCTTTGATAGATTCGCAGAGATTGGGGGAAAAAGGGCCTGCACGCAGTGAGCTCCAGACTGTAGTTTCACGCTGTGGGAAGGCTCGTGTGTCACTGTTTCGGCCTCATCGGCCT